CAAACACACACACACACACACACACACACACACACACACACACACACACACACACACACACACACACACACACACACACACACACACACACACAACACACACACACAACACACACACACACACACACACACACACACACACACACACACACACACACACAGACACACACACACACACACACACACACACACACACACACACACACACACACACACACACACACACACACACACACAACACACACACACACACACACCACACACACACACACACACACACACACACACACACACACACACACACACACACACACACACACACACACACAACACACACACACACACACACACACACAACACACACAACACAACACACACACACACACACACACAACACACACCACACACACACACACACACACACACACACACACAACACACACACACACACACACACACACACACACACACACACACACACACACACACACACACACACACACACAACACACACACACACACACACACAACACACACAACACACACACACACACACAACACACACACACACAACAACACACACACACACACACACAACACACACACACACAACAACACAACACACAAACACACAACACACAACTCACACACACAACAACATACACACAACACAACACACACAACACACACACACACAACACACACAACACAACACACACACATTAAACACAACACACCACATTACAAACAATTAACACTAGAGGAGGAGGAAGTTGAATTAACACTAGAGGAAGTTGAATTAACACTAGAGGAAGTAAATTAACACTAGAGGAAGCTGAATTAACACTAGAGGAAGTTGAATTAACACTGAAGTTGTAACACAGTTGAATTAACACAAAGGAAGTTGAATTAACACTAGAGGAAGTTGAATTAACACTAAGAGGAAGTTGAATTAACACTAGAAAGTTGATTAACAAGAAGTTGAATTAACATTAGAGGAATTAACACATAGTAAAGTTTGAATTAACACTAGAGGAAGTTGAATTAACACTAGGTAGAAGTTGAATTAACAGTTGAATTAACAAAGTTGAAAATTAAACTAAAAGAAAATTGAAATTAACTAGTAAAATAAAAAACACACTAAAGTTGAATTACACACTAAAGTGATTTAAACTAGTAAAAGTTGAATTAACACTAAGGAAAGTTGAATTAACTTTCAAACAGTTAAAAAAAAAACATGCTTTGTGTTAAAAACAACTGTGAAGTATTTTAAGCCTCCAGTCTTTGCCGTGTCTCCGGGTTCGGTGTGATTTTTGACATGAGCCGGTGTTGTTTTAGTTTTACTCTGTGACATAATCAGACACTGTCCCGTTTCTAAACTCCAGCCTCCAGAAGCGACGGTGTTTTGGTAAAAGCTGCACTTTGTGTCAGAGCCGAGAAGTGTCGGCGTCTAAGGATAAAACGTCTCAAAAACCCCGACGTGAGACTCAGACTCACGCGCTTCTTCACTTCTTCACTTCTTCACTTCTTTTCACTTCGGTGTTTGAAAAAGACCCGGAGCTTTGCAACACGCCTGTCGCTATGGAGATGTTACTGCCTGAAATGTTCCGTGGTCTGGCTTTAAACATACAGGTCAGGGGTCTCCAAGCCCCGGACCTGGTACCGGTCCACGGGTAAACCAGGTCTAAACCAGGACTAAAACCAGGACTAAACCAGGACTAAAACCAGGACTAAACCAGGACTAAACCAGGACTAAACCAGGACTAAACCAGGACTAAAACCAGGACTAAACCAGGACTAAAACCAGGACTAAACCAGGACTAAAACCAGGACTAAAACCAGGACTACCAGGACTAAAACCAGGACTAAACCAGGACTAAACCAAACTAAACCAGGACTAAACCAGGACTAAAACCAGGACTAAAACCAGAACTAAAACAGGACTAAACCAGGACTAAACCAGGACTAAACCAGGACTAAACCAGACTAAACCTAAACTAAAACAGGACTAAAACCAGGACTAAACAGGACTAAAAGGACTAAACCAGGACTAAAACCAGACTAAACCAGGACTAAAAACCAGGACTAAACCAGGACTAAACCAGGACTAAAACAGGACTAAACCAGGACTAAACCAGGACTAAACCAGAACTAAAACTAGGACTAAACCAGGACTAAACCAGAACTAAAACCAGACTAAACCAGGACTAAAACCAGGGACTAAACAGGACTAAACCACTAAAACCAGGACTAAACAGGACTAAACCAGGACTAAACCAGAACTAAACCAGGACTAAACCAGAACTAAAACCAGGACTAAAACCAGGACTAAACCAGGAACTAACTAAACCAGGAACTAAAACTAAACCAGACTAAACCAGGACTAAAACCAGGACTAAAACAACCAGGACTAAAACCAGGACTAAAACAGGACTAAACCAACTACAACCAGGACTAAACCAGAACTAACCAATAAACCAGGACTAAAACCAGGACTAAACCAGGACTAAAACCAGAAATAAACCAGGACTAAAACCAGAAATAAACCAGGTAACTAATCAGAATCTGCCAAAGTTTCTCTGCTAAAAATGGTATCAACATCTAACTGTGCCACACGAGGAACCGAGGCTCCAAAGAAGGAGCCAAAAAGATCAAACCTGGACTGAGACTCTCCACCGTCCACATGAAAACTCAGAAAAGTGTGAGATTCTTGTCAGAAATGTTCATTCTCTCAAATATTCAGGTTCAACAGTTTGTGAATATCTGCTTGGAGTAAACAGATCTTGGACCACAATAAAATAAAAACTAAAAACTGAGCAGCAACCAAATGTGAGATTTTGGGTCCCACAGCGCCTCCTTTAATAAATATACTCAATATTTGACAACAGATTCAGAATCTATGACCAAGAATTTACAATAATACAAATTTTCTGTTTCCTCGCTTTATTTTTTTTTTTGAAGTTCTGGTCTCAAACATGTTTATAAATTAAGGCTTCAGAAAAAGGGAACATGGCCCCAAAATTTCAACGTTCCAAAACTCAGGAACGACTCAAGAGCTAAAATGTGAGATTCTTTCATTTGGTGATTTGAGAAAATTTTAGACATTAGACATGAGGACTGATGTTCTTTTGTCTAAAAAACTACAGTCTCTTCTCATTGTTTCAAAATTAAGTATGGAGCTGTTTCCACGGTAACAAAACTGGAAGATTTTAGTGCGACATTTGGCCTGACTTCACCTCACACTAACTCTCACCTCCCTCCTCCTCCTCCTCCTCTGCCCACCTCCTCCTCTCCTTCCTCCTCTTTCCTCCTCTTCTCCTCCTCCTCTCCTCCACCTCCTCCTCCTCCTCTCTCTCCTCCTTCCTCCTCCTCCTCCTCCTCCTCTTCCCCCTCCTCTCCTCCTCTTCCTCTCTCTCTGCTTCCTCTCTTCCTCCTCCTCTCCTCTTCCTCTTCCTCTTCCTCCTTCCTCCTCCTCCCTCCTCCTCCTCCTCTCCTCCTCCTCCTCTTCTCCTCCTCCTCCTCCTCCTCCTCCTCCTCCTCCTCCCCCTTCTTCCTCCTCCTCCTCCTCCTCCTCCTCCTCCTCTCCTCTCCTCCTCCTCCTCCTCCTCCTTCTCCTCTTCTCCTCCTCCTCCTCCTCCTCCTCCTCCTCCTCCTCCTCCTCCTCACCTCCTCTCCTCCTCCTCCCTCCTCCTCCTCCTCCTCCCTCCTCCTCCTCCTCTTCCTTCCTCCCTCCTCTTTCCTCCACTCTTCCTCCTCCTCTTCTCCGTTTCTTCTCGTGAGTGTGAGGAGCAGGTCACACTTCAGTTTCACTCTGACGTTTTAGCACCGTTAGGACTAAACCAGGACTAAAAACTAAACCAGGACTAAACCAGGACTAAACCAGGACTAAACCAGGACTAAACCAGGTCTAAACCAGGACTAAACTACTAAACCAGGACTAAACCAGGAGGTCTAACTAAACCAGGTCTAAACCAGGACTAAAACCAGGACTAAAAAACTAGGACTAAAACCAGGTCTAAACCAGGTCTAAACTAGGACTAAACCAGGACTAAACAGGACTAAACCAGGTCTAAAACCAGGTCTAAACCAGGACTCTAAAACTAAACAGGACTAAACTAGGACTAAACCAGGACTAAACCAGGACTAAACCAGGACTAAACCAGGATTAAAACTAGGTCTAAACTAGGTCTAAACTAGGTCAAAACCAGGTCTAAACCAGGTCTAAACTAGGACTAAACCAGGACTAAACTAGGACTAAACCTAGGACTAAACCAGGTCTAAACCAGGACTAAACCAGGACTAAACCAGGACTAAACCAGGTCTAAACCAGGTCTAAACTAGGACTGAACCAGGACTAAATCAAGACTAAACCAGGTCTAAACCAGGTCTAAACCAGGACTAAACCAGGACTAAACCAGGACTAAACCAGGACTAAACCAGGACTAAACCAGGATTAAAACTTAACTAGGACTAAAACAGGACTAAAACAGAATAAAACAGGACTGAACCAGGACTAAACACGTACCAAAACCGAACTAAACCAGGTCTAAAACTGAACTCAACCAGGACCAAAATCAGGACTAAAACCAGGACTAAAACCAGGTCTAATCTTGGTCTAGGACTTGGACTCTAGTTCCTGAGTTGGTGGATCAGTGTTTCCTCAAAGTTCGATCGGGCGTCGGCTCTTCGTCTCGTGGAGCGTGGAGTTCTGCGTCGGTCCTTTCGCCCGCGGTCACCCGACGGTCTACACGGGCTTCACCTCCGGCCCGACCCGACACCCGGAACCGCAACGATGTCGTTTCACCGCCGCTGATGTCGACGTGATTTTAGTGAAATTTGTCTGGAGAAAAACGAAAAACCCAACACTTCAATCCAGAGTCAAATAATTTTCGTGTGAGGAAAGTGTGTCGTGTTGTTGAATTTGACTGTTCTGTGTGTGTGTGTGTGTGTGTGTCTCTGTGTGTGTGTGTGTGTGTGTCTCTGTGTGTGTGCGTGCGTCAGGTGGAGCCGGCGGGCGTCTTCGTGCTTCCTCCTGCCGCCGTCCAGGAGGTCCAGGTGAAGGTTCAGCCGTGGAGGTCGGGGAGGCGTTTCTTCTTCTTGAGCGCCGTGGACGTGGAGCAGAAGCGTCTGGTCGGCGGGTGGCTCCTGTGCCTCCAGGTGCACCGGCCCGTCATCTCCAAGGTAACGCCCTCATCAGCATCATCATCAGCATCATCAGCATCATCATCATCATCATCAGCATCATCATGACAGTAATAAAAATAATAATAACACACTCACAGTTTGGCCTGTAACGATAACACATTTTGCAGGATGATTAATTGACCAAGAATTTGTTGCGATAAACGATAATATTGACATTTTGAGACCAATTTCAACTAATATAATGACCACGAAATAAAAATGCAAATACATCCTCTCAATGATCAATGAACTTTACTTTCCAAAGAACATTTAACACAGGAAGTGTAAAGGGCCGTTCACATCAAAGCGTCAAAAAACGCCTTGACGTCTCTATTTGGAGCCTTTTCATTTGAGTTTAGACGCCCCGACGCTCGTGTTTGACGCCGTGGACGAACGGGAGAAAAATACTTGACGCGCGTCCGTTGTCCTGGAAACAAGAGGCTGGTCCCGGTCTTTTCCCGAAACAATGTCAGACCAGACTGAGAGACTTTAGTGTTTTTATGACATAAAACATCAGCGGAGGAAATCGACTCGACGACTGCGGTGTGTTTATATTTATACTCCACTAATGACACTGGATCAGTCCTGGTCTAGTCCCGGTCTAGTCCCTGTCTAAGTCACGGTCTAGTACCGGTCTAGTCCAGGTTTAGTCTCGGTCCTTTCCTGGTCTAGTCCTGGTTTAGTCCCGGTCTAGTCTCGGTCTAGTCCTGGTTTAGTCCTGGTCTAGTCCTGGTTCGGTTCTGGTTTAGTCCTGGTCTAGTCCTGGTCTGGTTCTGGCTTAGTCCTGGTCTAGTCCTGGTTCGGTCCTGGTTTAGTCCTGGTTTAGTCCCGGTCTAGTCTCGGTCTAGTCTCGGTTTAGTCCTGGTTGGTTAGTCCTGGTTTAGTCCTGGTCTAGTCCTGGTTCGGTCCTGGTTTAGTCCCGGTCTAGTCTCGGTCTAGTCTCGGTTTAGTCCTGGTTTAGTCCTGGTCTAGTCCTGGTTCGGTCCTGGTTTAGTCCTGGTCTAGTCCTGGTTCGGTCCTGGTTTAGTCCTGGTGATCATCTCGGTGATTGTGGTGTATATATTTATTCTCCGTTCATGTTTGTCGTTCTGGTTCTCGGGTTTTTCTTCCTGATAATAACGTCGCTGCGTCTCTGGATACTCGTCCCTGATTGGTCGACGCGGCGCATCTGACACTAAAAGTTCAGCATTTTCAACTTCTTGACGCTGACGCCTCGGACGCGCGTCTAGAGCGTCGATGTGAAAACGCTCAAGACTCGCCGCGTCGACGCCAGATTCGCGCCGCAAAAACGCAGGACGCTCCACATCGACTTTACATAGAAACTGGACGCTTTGACGCTTTGACGCTTTGGTGTGAACGAACCTTAAGACAAACAAAAACAACAGGCCCAAAGAAAACAGACTTAACACAGGACTAGTCTAATACGTCTGATTTACAGCGAGGACTTGTTCACAAAAACACACTTGAATAAACCACTGTTGAACCAAACACAACCAAAGCAATAAATAAAATGGATTATTAAGTCTCTGTAACAAAATTGTCCTTAGAAGTGATTTTAGTCGTTGATTTACATTGGAATATTGTGTCTCGTCTCTGTGGCTGCTGCTGTGAGTTCGTATGAACCCGAGACACAGGATGTTATTTCGCTATGAAGGAGTCTCTGTCCTGTCTGGTGTCGTGTCGGTTCGGTTTCGGAATTTCGGGTTCTCCCAGGCGTTAGGTTAGTTCTGTCGCTGGGGTTTGGGTTTATATCGGCTGTTGGGGTTTGAGACATTTCTTCTCGTTGTTTTTGCGCTCGCTGTATTTGACATGTGGCTGTTGAGACGTTTCCCGCTCACCAGTGTTGATTCGGCATCGTGACTTGTTTTGGCGATGAACGAAGATGAACAGTTTTGTGCACTTTCTGTAGAAAGCGCAGGCTACAAGCGCATCCGCTCTGTTGAGAAACACGGCGCACGTTGGTTCAAGCGTCATTACGATTATTAAACGAGACGAGTCAGAGCGATAGAAACTTCTAACATTCATCTCTTTGAGAGCGACAGCGAGCGAGACAGAGCGAGGAAAACAAACAAGCTGCAAATAGAATTTATCGTGGCTGGAAAAGTTATCGAGCTCGTTAAAAGTTATCGTACGATTAATCGATTTATTGATTATCGTTACAGGCTCACAGTGAGACTCTGAGCAGCTCTGTCAGATCGTAACCACCAAACCACCGTAACAGCCAATAGAACAGTAACCTGATTCATCATCCGGTTTCACTTGGTGGAAACCGTGTGACCTCACAGCATTAGGATTCATTCACTCAACAGTAGGCAGGTACTTTTTTTATTTAACCAATCGCTGCTGTTTGGTCGTGACGTTTGTAAAGCTCCAAATCCTGTAGGAAGAAGAACAATAACGTCTTTCCCCGAGATCAAATTCACCAAACATTCTCTTGTCTCCGGTTTTAAATCCTCGGGGATCTGGAGAATCGTCACCAACACAGAATGTCTGTCTTCGTCTACGTCCATCTCGACGCTTTGTTTACTGTTGTGTTGTTCCACAAAAGGGACACAGACAGACGCCACGACAACCACGTCATGACTCTGATGATTGGTCTGTGCTCAGTCTACAACTTCTGAGGTTCTTGCAAACCGTCTAATGTTTCCTGATTCCTGAAATAGTCACTGGAGAGAAATGAAATTGAGTGGAGGCACTAGGTGGCTCCAGTCTGGGTAATAGAAGAAAGCATCAGATGGAGTGATGGACACAGAGGTGTAAGATACAAACTCAGAATTTAGCGAAAATAATGAGACTTCCTGAGAAATAATGAGAATTCCTCACCTCTCGAAAAGTTGTAAATTTAACATGTAGCTTCTCATCCACATTATCCACACAATTTGTCCTCCACAAATAATGACCCCTGTCCACAAAACGGTGCTGGGAATCCAGTTTGAGTCGTTCTTTAAAAGTAAAAAGGTGGGAGTAGTTCCTCATGTCTGTTTCCATCCACACTCTACTAGTCGTTTTACTCTAGACCGGAAACAGCGAGACACTGAACACGAGGTCTGCAGACATTTCACATATCATGTATCACATATTACGTATCATGTATCATGACATCACAAGGTGGAATAGAGAGACTACAGACAGGTTTGTGTTAAACGTGTGAACGTGCAGGTCTGTGGGTGATGAGGAAACAACATTAGAACCTAGATCAGAGAATAGTGTCATATGGACCCTGTAAAGACTCTAAGTAGTTCCACCTCACCACTGTGTGTGTGTGTGTGTGTGTGTTGTGTGTGTGTGTGTGCGTGTGCGTGTGTGTGTGTGTGTGTGTGTGTGTGTGTGTGTGTGTGTGTGTGTGTGTGTGTGTGTGTGTGTGTGTGTGTGCTGTGTGTGTGTGTGCGTGTGTGTGTGTGTGTGTGTGTGTGTGTGCAGGCGTTTGAGGTGAACGTTCCGGTGGGAGAAGGTCGAGGAAGCTCCAGGAAGATCAGCTACACCAACCCCTACAGCAGCTCCCGAACCCTGCTGCTCCGATCAGACCAGCCCCACCTGCTGCAGTTCAGAGAGGAACGCTTCCAGGTCCGAAACACACACACACACACACACACGCACACACACACACACACACACACACACACACACACACACACCAACAAACAAACACACACACAGACACACACACCTGCTGCTCCGATCAGACCACCCCCACCTGCTGCAGTTCAGAGAAGAACACTTCCAGGGACACACACACACACACACACTGACCACATCACACACACACACACACCACCACACACACACACACACTGGCTTCCCACACACACACCACACTGACACCACATCACGACACACCACCAGACAACACACCACACACACACACACACACACTGACGTACTCACACACACACACACACACACACACACACACACAGCACTCACACACACACACACACACAGCTCTGCAGTTCAAGGGAACACTTCCAGGTCCGACACACACACACACACACACACACACTGACGCACAATCACACACACACACACACACACACACACACTGACGACAATCACACACACACACACACAACACACACACACACACTGACGCACAATCACACACACCACACACACACACTGACCACAATCACACACACGCACACGTCACACACACTCACCCAACAAACAAACACACACACACGACACACACACCTGCTGCAGTTCAGAGAGGAACACTTCCAGGTCCGAAACACCACACACACACACTGACACACATCACACACACACAACTGACGCACACACTCACACACACACACACACACACACACACTGTACGCACAATCACCACACACACACACACACACACACGCACTGTCACACAATCACACACACACACACACTGACGCACAATCACACACACACACACACACACACACACCAACAACACACACAACACACACACACAGACACACACACACACACACTGACGCACAAACACACACACACACACACAAACACACACACTGACACACACATTGACACACAATCACACACACACACCAACAAACAAACACACACACCGTTTTTTCGGTTCGTTCCTCTGTTCCATTCCTCGTCGGCGTGGAGTGATGAGTGTGTCTGTGGGTGTGTTTCGCTGTGCGGTCGCTGTCTGTTCCGTGTGTGTTTGCGACTTTGTAGTTTACTGAAGTCGTACTGGGACACGATTCGTGTATGGGGGGCTCTGGATTGTGGCGCGCGGTCGTTTTTTGATGCGTTTAGAGGCTTAAGAGCGCGACTAATGACCCGGAAAATACGGTACTTGAACTCCTCCACTTGAGGCAGAGACTCTCCACCCGCCCGGAGACGACAAGACGCCTTTTTCCGGTCGAGAACCACGACCTCGAATCAGAAATACACACAAACACACACACACACACACAGCTCCCGGAAATTAATGTTCAGACTCGGGTCGGACTCGGACTCGTCAGCGCGAACCTAAAAATGTCCTCAAACACGGCACTTTTACATTTGTACTTCCGCCGCTGCACATTTCAGAACGACTTTTGTGCTTTATAACAAACCGGTTTTAGTCACTGGCCCCAAAATGAGAAGCTCAATTGCGCCATTTTTTTTCTCCTTTATTTTCACAGTAAAATAAATTCCCCCATTTTCCCGTCCTCCCCGAAACCACATGCTTCACTTCTGAGCACCTCTCCGTGTTCGGCCGCTCACTCCTCCATCACACGTCCGTAATGTCCCCGTCCTCCCCCCCGTCCCCAGAGTCTGTGTGCTCCAGAGAACCATCCAGGGGCCATTAGCGCTGGTGTTTTATTGTCCTGTCTCCTCTCCACCTCTCCTCTCTCCTCTCTCCTCTCCTCTCTGTAATAGCTCCTTCAGTCACCCGCGCCCGCCCTCAGACAGACTATCAGCGCCGGGTGTGAGCGCGAGGGCATCCGGGCTAATGGAGAGCCCCGGCCGCCAAACGAGCTCCGCAACGACGCGACGCCACGGACGCGTAAACTATTCATGAAGCTCGATTCGTCAGGGAGACACGGGGAGACGGAGGCAGGTGGAGAGAGAAAGTGCACCGTCTGGACCTGGGACTTGGACTTTTCACTTCTTTAGACGGAGTCAGGACTTTCACCGGTGCCTTAAAGTTCAGCTGGGGATCATTAAGAAGCTGCCGATACGATACAGACCTCGATATAACAGGCGAGTTTGAGCTGATGTCATTGTTATTAAAAGCCCGCGTTGCTGCTGGGAAATATTTTGGTCGGAGGCAAGAAACACGGTAGCGTCAAACACAGTGTGTAACCTCACGTATTTCTCTCCGATGGTAAATTCCTGCTGCATTATCGGATGCACAAATAGAAGCACGTAAAAAGGAAAATGTCTTTCTCGTATTCTGAGTGAAAAGAACCACTAACGGTGAATTAAACGACTTTCAAACATTCGCAGAGCAAACGTAGAAGATCCTAACAAACCGTGGACTCCAACAAGTTCAACAACACATCCAGACTCTTGGAGGTTTTCATCTTTTCTGCTGTGAATGGCCCAGGAGTTTCCACCAAGTCATTGTGGATGTCGCCCAAGTGAATATTTGTCCAGGTAGTTGGAGATTCTGACCAGAAGTTTGGTTTGGTCCAGGCTCTGTCGGGGTTGAAAAGGGTGATTTGTCGTCCGTCGATGCTTACGACCAATTTCTGGTCAAATGGTCTTGGGTCCTCTGCCGTTAGACTGGATAAATAACCGGGATCAATACCCTTTACGTGCTTTCTCGCTCCGTCCGTCATGTTGAATTAGTGTTTCTTGTGTGGGAAATATCATGTGTTGATCATGCTGATTCACCCAATATTTTGTACCTTGGAATGACAACAGGGTGAAAAACACGTATGACTACCTGTAGTTCTATAAAAGACATGTTTTTCTGTACTTTGAGACGCCACAAAGCAGAAAAATGATGTATGTGGACCCCGTGGCATGTACCCACCCATGATAAAGTGCACCGGGTCAGCCTTATTGTTCATTTTCTTGCTGTATATGCTAAATCAACAAGTTAATGTTTTGTCAGATGTGTGGTATAAAGCTCCTTCTCATTGTGAGTTGGGCAGAGGCGTCGTTCCGGGGTGACGGTTGTACTTGGTAATCAACACTGAATCCCTCTCAATGGAAAATGACGAAATAAAGTGGCCTGTTTCTCGGACCCTTCCATCTTTTGTGCTTCTTTCTAGGACACGCACCGAATCTTCCGAAAACCCACACTTGGTGCCGACCAAAATAATTCCCAGCAGCAACGAGCGCTTTTGTCAACAATGAAACTCGCCTGTATAGGCCGCGTTACGATACGCACCTCGATACAGTTCACTTTCAGTTTGATACGATATATTTCAAATAGATTCGATACGGTTCTATAAAAATAAAATCTAAAACTTGTTTGTGATACTAAAAGTCTTTGTTAAACCACGTCTTGTGCAAAGTTCATATGAAACACAAACATTTTAATCATCAAAACAGTGAAAATGTCAAATGTGTCAAATAAACGAGTTTTCTTCCTCTGAAAAAACAACAAAACTCTAGCTGTAACTAAATATTTTAGTAAAATATACCAAAAAAATACTCTTGGTGATATATATCGAAACAGCAGCCCATGATATCGATACTGTATCATCAACTTCAACATCAGCATCAACTTTAAATGATACGATATTTCGATATATTTCCATATTTTTGCACATCCCTATCGAGTATATATAATATAGGTCGATGAAGTCTCGATGAAGTTAATCAAAATTTGTATAAGTCGACTAATTATGTTACCATATTTTCCGGGCTATTAGTCGCTCTGGATTATAAGACGCACTGTCATTAAATGGTCTATTTTCAAACTTTTTTCACAAATAAACCTCGTGGGACTTTAAATGAAACCCAACAGTGTGATGGGTGAGTGGTTTTGTTTGTTTGTTCGTTCACGGTGACTCTGGGCTTTGTTCAGTTGTGGCGTGTAGGGAGGGTGTGTCTGGGACCAGCGGATTGTTGGCGTGTTCGCAGTGACTCAGTTGTTCAGTCGTGTCTAGAAGCGGCACATTGGACTCGTCGTTTTTTCGGTTTGTTCCTCCGTTCCGTTCCGTGATGAGTGTGTCTGTGGGTGTGTTTCGCTGTGCGGTCGCTGTCTGCTCCGTGCGTGTTTGTGGCTTTATAGTTTACTGAAGTCGTACTGGGACACCCGAGTCGATTCGTGTATGGGGCGCTCTGGATTGTGGCGCGCGGTCGTTTTTTGATGCGTTTAGAGGCTTAAGAGCGCGACTAATGACCTGGAAAATACGGTATTTCGAATCGATTTGATACAGTTCAATAAAAAATTAAGTCTAAATCATGTCTGTGATGCTAAAAAACTTTGTTAAATCACTTCTTGTGCAAAAAAATGAAATGTGTAAAATGAAACAAACATTTCAATCATCAAAACAGTGAAAATGTCAAATGTGTCCCTCTGAATAAACAACAAAACTGTTGCTGTGTAACAAAATCATTTAGTAAAATAAACCAAAAAATACTCCTGGTAATAAATCAGTACAGCAGCCCACAATATCCATACTGTATCATAACATTAAACAATACGATATATCGATATTTTGATATATTTGTACACCCCTATCGTGTCTATAATATAGGTTGATGAAGTCTTAGTTAATCAAAATTTGTATTAGTTGTATTAGACTACGTTTACACTGAAACGAATCCACATATCACCGTATCTGAAACGATTTGCATCCACACACGTCGTTTTTTGTGTCCGCAAGTCTTCCCTATCCACACAGTTTTGAGCATATTTGTTTACGTTTTACAGAAACCACATGACTCATTTTGCATAAACTAAGTGCTATTGTGTCGCTGATGCGGTTCAGCTTCTGTCGGACTAAAGGACACAGTGACTCAGTGGAATATGAGTGTTCTTTCTGTGACAGAGGGGTGTTCTGCTGATGGTGAGTCTGTTCTGTGTTTCTGTCGTGTTGGAGATGGTTCATGTGAAACTTTTCAGAGGTTATACGTCTGCAGGTCGTACACACAAACACACGTTTATATGAGTG